CCTTGTTCATCTGCTATCCTAATCTCCGCTTACCTTAATTCTTTCAATTAAACCCCTACCATACACTTTACCAGGTACACTCAACAGACTTATCCCCCTATAATTTTGCACTCTCTTTTATCCCCTTTGCCTTTATACAAGGAACTATGCATGCTCTCTGCCAATCCCAAGGTACCTTACCCTCTTCCATACATTTATTAACAATTGCACCAACCACTCCAAAACTAAAATTCCCCACCTGCTTTTAACATTTCTATCTTTAAACCCATCAATCCCCGCTGCCTTACCCCTTTCATTTTACCTACTGCCTCACGAACTTCCCCCACACCACAACTGGCTCTTCCTCACTCCTACAAATGTTATTCCCCTTGCCCAAAACACGAAATCACAGCTTCCCATCTTCATCAACATTTAAACAATTCCTCAAAATATTCCCTCCATCTTTCCCAATACCTCTAACTCTCCATTTAATAACTCTCCTCTCCTATTTTAACTGACAAATCCATTTGTTCTCTAGGCTTTCTTTAAATGTTAATCTCACTCCAAAACTTTTTCTTATTTTCAACAAAAATTTTTTGATAACATCTCACCCACACTCTCATTTTGCTCTCTTTTTTTCAAATTTCTTCACCACCTCTTAACCTCTCTCTTTTTCCTCCATATACCTTTCCCTCCTTGCATCACTTCCCACTTTGTAAAAACTTCTCATATGCTAACTTTTTCTCCCTTACTACTCTCTTACATCATCATTCCACCAATCGCTCCTCTTCCCTCCTGCACCCACTTTCCTGTAACCACAAACTTCTGCTGAACACTCTAACACCCACATTTTTAAAACCTACCCCATACCTCTTCGACCCCATTGCCTATGCTCTCATTAGCCCATCTATCCTCCAATAGCTGTTTATATCTTACCCTAAAATGCCTCCTCTTTTAGTTTATAAACCTTCACCTCTCCCCTTCCCCTGATGCTTCTATTCTCCTTGTACCCATCTACCTTTACTCTCATGTAGCTACAACTAGAAAGTGATCTGATATATCTGTGGGCCCCTCTATAAAAATGTACATCCTGAAGTCTACTCAACAGTCTTTTTTTCTACCAATACATAATCCAACAAACTACTGTCATTTCGCCCTACATCATATCGTGTATACTTATTTATCCTCTTTTTCTTAAAATATGTATTACCTATAACTAAACCCTTTCTATACAAAGTTCCCAAACAAAGGGCTCCCATTATCATTTACAAACCCGGCAAACCCCCAAAATTACCTACCACACCCACTCTAAAAGTTTCTCCTACTTTACATTCAAAGTCCCCTACCACAATTAAATCCACTCACTTGGTTCAAAGGCTCCTATACAAATTTACTTAACATCTCCCAAAATCTCTCTTTCTCTCCTCTGCATTCCTCTCTTCTCCAGGTGTATATAAATATATATATATATATACAGTGGGACCCCCCTTAACGATCACCTCCAAATGCGACCAATTATGTAGTGATTTATGTAAGTGCGTTGTACTGTATGTTTGGGGTCGAAATGGACTATCTACTTCACAAATTCCTAGGAAAAATTCGTCACTACGGCACCCTGAACTACACTGGAATTAAAAAGTTCTTAACCGGGGTCCACGTATAATAAATATATATATAAATAAAATATAATATATATATATATATATAAATATAAAGAAATAGGGGCATCTGTTAGAATAAATGGCCTAAAATAATTCTATCTATACCCAACAAGCACTTGACACAATTTACAGCTATACGACTTTAAAAAAACATTGAAAATAAATAAGTTAAATGGCTCAGCATTGGACTTCATGGCATTTTTCACAAGGTTTCTCAGCACAACAAGAATTGCCACTAATTCATATAGAAGAATTGGGAAATCAAACATTAATAAAATATTCTCGTGCTACATACATATTAAATATGATTCACATTCCAAAGGTAAAAGTTTTTAAATACAAGCACAGCGATGGATATCGGTAAATAATGACCCCAATTAAAATAAATTACATCATTTAAGTGTCCCGAAGTAACTTAGGTTAAATTAAGACTCTCACCACTGAATGACAATATCATTATCATCATATTCAGACTGAACCTGTAGGAGTCGTGCAGCACCTAGGAATGGGAGGTAATCAAGTTTGATCAAAGGAAGAAGAGTGTAGCTCTAATTCCTTGGCTCAAAAGCTCTTTATAAGCATCAAGGTACTCTGCTAAAAGCTGTATGCATTAGGTGCTAATGCAGCAAATGTGGAAATTTAAAGGATCGATTTGTAAAAGTGCAAAAAAAAAAAAAACTTTAATCAAACATCCTTACTTAAGTGTAACAAAGGGCCATTACCTGTAGCTGGAACAACTATATGCCTCTTAGTCCATATTCTTCAAGTTACCATATTTTCTGACATATAAGGCATGCTTTTTTTCCCACAAAAAAGTCTTGGAAAATCACCCTGTACTTTATATGCTGAAGGTCAGGGTTAAGGGCAGGCCTTGGGTTATGCTTTAAGCGGTTGTTTACTAACGTTACGATACAACTGCTTGGAAACATTATGCCAGCAAGCAGCCAACACTTGTGTGCCTTATATGCCAAAAAAATATAGTACTCCCTATTTCCACATTCTTTAAGTAATGGGTTTTTATATATTTTTTATACGTAACATTTTACAACAGTCTCGAAAGCACACAGTTGTATTTAGGTACAATTATGTAATTTTAGAATATTACAACTGTCTTACATAGTAACATATTAGTAAATTCCTTATGATAACCCCGAGAAAAGTTATACACACATTTGTAAAACATTATGCAGACTGAAATTAAGACCCCAACTAAAATAAGTTGCTTTGACTTTTTTTGGATTTATCCTAGATAATTTACATTAGGTATGATAATTGTATTTATGCATACCTGTGCCTAAATAAACTTACTTATAACCCAGTAGTTAAACAATGTGATTTATTCCCACTGGAATCCTTTTCTGTCAGTGCTTTATTCTAAGTAAGCATTTTCTGGAAATTCTATTTCCATTAATAAAATTAAGAGATATATGGTTAGAAAACATATTTAAATGAAAGAGTTCCAGAACATTTATATCTTTTGGCAAACTTTTCATACTTAATTGAAAAAATATTGAAATATCATTATTTATAAGTCAAAAAAAATAGTTTATTTTTACTGTACATCTCAACATAAGTAAGCAAGCTGCTTGAATATTTTTTTTTTTTTTTAATAAATTTAGAGCTGACAATGATTTCGATACTTGAGTACAATACTCTGACAAATTTCTATTCATGTAAACACTATCAATCGTCTAATATAACTTAAGCTACTAATTACAAAGTTGCCAGTGGGAATAATTACTTAAATGGTATCATACTTCATTCATTCATTCATTAGGGATTTGCCGGTACTTCCGGCCCGGGTCTTCTCCAGATGGTGATCCGGTGGTGGCCCCCGGGCCACTAACAAGATGTGGAATATTACACTTATATACAGTTCAGTAAGTTTATTTAGGCAGAGATACACATAACTACAATTATCATACATAGTTTATGTATAAATTATCTAGGATAACCCTCTCTCCCCCCCCCCAAAAAAGTGAAAATGACAAATTTCCATTGGGGTCAGGACATTCATTAAAGAAAATACTTTGCCACAAGTGGCTAGCCACTTGTGGCTACTTTTTAGTCACTTGTGGCAAAACTTGACAAAAATGTCTTGAACTATACACAAATCTCTTTTTCCACAGGTCAATGCTTTTTTTTGGGTTATCCTAGGTAACTTACACATATACTTATTACTATGCAAGACAGTGGTATTCATCTAAAAACTGTGTAACTGTACATAAAATTAATTACCTATTCCCAAATTTCCTATATCATTACCACTATAACTTGTTCAGCTGTCACAATGTTGTGGTCCAGTCCCTGGACCCATTATGTACCTCTGTAATCTTTTGACTACCATTTATAGGATGGGTATTGGGGGGGAGGTGCATAATGAAGATATTAAACTGCTCTGTACAACCAGTGTATTATTTAGAAATAAATCTTTGACCTTGACTTTGACTTACTTTCACTTTTATCATTTGAGAATCAATTTGACTTTAGCAAAATGAATTTTAAAACAGCCTTTTTCATTTCTTTGGAGGTTGTTCTTCCTATAGATGTACCCTGATGGAGGGTTCTTAATCCGAGGACTTGGAGCTACCTTCCAGTTCCTCGGATCAAGCCTGGCTATCTCTTGCTCCCCAGGACCTACATGACCCAAACGGATTTAGCGCTTCCCCATGAATATATTATTATTATTATTACAATCAAGGGGGAAGCGCTAAACCCGGAGGATTATACAGCGCCTGGGGGGGGATGTGGAAGGCATTCAGGCTTTAATTTGGGGAACTGGAGCACAGATCCAATTCCCTAAATCAAGAGCCCCTCACCAACATCAAGGAACCTTCCTTGAGGGGCCCATGAATATATGTACTACTAATAATACAATAGAAAGATTGTATTAACCATGTTATATGCATGTAATGGAGATAAACAGAGATATAACTCAACAAACCCAAATAGTACAAATATTTACGAGTCTAATATCGTAAACGCATTCATTTACAACTTGTAAATGAACTACGGACGTTAAAATCATTCATTTACAACTTGTAAATGAACTACGGACGTTAAAATCATTCATTTACAACTTGTAAGTGAACTACGAAGATTACATACATTTACAACTTTTAGGTAAACTATGGAGATTAAATATTAATTTACAACTTGTAAGTACACTACTGAGGATAAATGCATTCATTTACAACCTGTATGATAACTATGAAGGTTAAACACATTCATTTACAACTTTGAAGTGAACTATGGTGGTTAAATATTTATTTTACAACCTGTAAGAGAACTAGAGACATTAAAATACTTATTTACAAAGAGCAAGTGACCCCTGGAGGTCAATATGAGGGATGGACTGACCTTCATGAGAGGCAGCAGGTCAGCAGCTAGGGGAAGCTGAGGATAGAGAGAGCCAAGCCATGACACTGAGCCTAGCACTAAGTGCCAAGCTAGTGTCTACTGAGTGCTGGGAGCCACCACCAGGTGCCACCACCACACAGTAAACACCACAAACCGTTTTCTTTAGCCACGTGGCGCGCCGTATTCAAACTGGTTAAGATTATTATTAAGTTTATTCCGCTACACACACATACAGTTACACTGATTATCATACATATCAGCATATGGGGACAGAACCTGGGATAACCCTAAAAAAGTCACGGTGCCCTGTGGCTTGGTGGCAAAAGCTCTCGCTTCACACGGTGATGTCCGGGTTCGATTCCCGGCGAAGGGGTGGAAACATTGGACGTGTTTCCCTACACCTGTTGTCCATGTTCACCCATCAGTAAAATGGGTACCTGGGTGTTAGTCAACTGGTGTGGGTCGCATCCTGGGACAAAACTGACCTAATTTGCCCGAAATGCTCTGCATAACAAGCAGCTTTCTATATTGTAATATATCATTGATGTCAGCTAGGACTGTATAACTTGTACTTGTAGTAAATAAAGATATAATTATTATTTCCATTGGGGTCCTTATTATTACAATCCAAACTAAGCGCTAAACCCACAAAGGTCATACAGCGCGCTGTTCAGACTGGTGAAGAGGAAGAAGACCACGTTCAGATTTTTTTTAGCCTATATTGCACACCTACTCTAGCTTCTATGATACATTCACTCGTAGGCTACAGCCACTCTAGAATGTATGCTACAGACACACAATATACAAATACATACAGAGTGTAGGCTACAACCTCTCTAGAATAAGTCACCTTGATTTTTTTTGGATTATCCTATATAATTTACACTATGTATGATAATTGCGCTTGTATGTACTTGTGCTTAAATATACTTACTTTCCTACTTATGTTACATACATACAATACATAAGACAAATACAGATAGTATTTGATACAGTCCCTCTAGGATGCTGGCTACATATACTCTAGATGTATGCTACATACATACAATACATAAATACAGTATTTGTATGTTGTAGTAAGGTCAAGGCTCCTAACAGGTGAACTTTCCCTCACAGTTACGGTGCTTCTCATTGGTTTATAAGCATCAACAGCATCTTAAAACTATACCGTTCAGTTTTACTGACCTAGATAATATGTTAGTAAAACCAGACCAATAGATCACATGATAATAAGATCAACTAGAAACTACAGTAAAGACTCGCTGAAAAGCTACAAAACTCTGACTGTAATTCATTTACAAGTTGCACAAATGTAAATGATGCTTGGGGAAAAAAATTAGAAGCATAGCCTCTTAATAGTCATTGGCATCTTTGACGTTATTGCACCAGATGTTTGGATAGAGAAGAAATGAACTCCGGTTAAGTGGCTGGAAAGGTCTTCAGCAAATAGTTATGACATTGTAGCTCCAAACGTATTTAACAAGATAAGGAACAAGGTGCAGAGGCTTGTAAAAGGAACAAATGCTAGGCACTACTGCTCGAAAACCGAAGGATACAAGAACAATAATAGAAAGTTATGGTAACAACTAAAAGCAATGAAGTAAACCTGTAAACCTGTTGATAGATCTAACATAGTGCTAAATATTGATAACGGGGCATCCCACGAAGAATCTCAAGTGCCAGATGCTTTTAGTTTATTCAACACAACTGTTGCATCATCATTAGTCAGTAAATAATTTCAACGCAGTCTCCAATAATTTAAAGAAAATATCTATAGTACTAAAGGCGTCACCCAAAACAATTCGAACTATTAGGTGTTCCTTAGGATTTTCTGTAGAAAGAACTAATGTAAGCCCAACTAAAATCACTGGACCAGATAATATTTCGATCAAATTCAGTCAAATCCGAATTGCCAGTCCCCATAGCTTACATAATAAATTTATCCATCACCACCAATACCGTGTCGGAAGAGTTCTTTCGAGACCGATAAATTAATCCCATGTTCAAGAAAAACAGGTCGAAAGTCAGTAATCACAGGTCGCCTGTTAGTATATTCAGCCTGATGTCCAAAATTCTAGAGAAAGCAGTTTATTATGAAGTGGTTATCTTCCTAACAACGAATATTTCAAATCGTAATCAATCTGTTGGATTACATGAGAATGCAAATATGGCTAGGGGATAAAACAAGGATGGTGACCCTAGACTTGCAAAAGGCATTCGATAAAGTTAACCATAATATGTTATGTGAGAAACTTCAAACTGTCTACATAGGCTCTGTAGAATGGTTCAAGTCTTACCTGAACGACAGGAAACAAATCATCAAGATCAACAATACAGAACCAGAACCCCTGACGATATCATGTGGGGTTCCCCAAGGGAGTATAACTGGTCCCTTACTATTTTCGTTATGCGGATGACATGCCCATCACTGTCAAGTGTAAACTTCTATTATTTGTACATGGCAATGCTCTGCTTGTTTCAAGTAAAGACTCACAAAATATGGCTAATGTTCAATCACTAGAACTAGAGTCCTGCAGAAAATGGTTAGTAGACAGCAAACTATCGCAGTACTTGGGAAAACCTGAAGCCACAATTTTGTCACAAAAAGTATTCTATTATTTGTACATGGCAATGCTCTGCTTGTTTCAAGTAAAGACTCACAAAATATGGCTAATGTTCAATCACTAGAACTAGAGTCCTGCAGAAAATGGTTAGTAGACAGCAAACTATCGCAGTACTTGGGAAAACCTGAAGCCACAATTTTGTCACAAAAAGTATTCTGGAAAGAGTAAATACGTTTAATGTACCGTATAAATGGGAATCCATCAGAAAAGTAGGAATGTAATATCTTGCACAGTTAATATTGGTATAACTGTTACATTCAACTATTCTTTTCTTTTCCATACTCACGTAATTCTTTTTCAAGTGCTCGATTTACTCAGTTTATTTGCATTTGGTTACTTAAGAGTTTTTAACAACCATGACGGAGTTTCACTGTATCTAAGAATTAAGTTGCTTGTCTTAAGGCATGGACCGGACCCCGGGGGCGTTGACCCCCGAAATCCCCTCCAGATATACTCCAGGTGGAAATAAATCAGTCTAACTTTTTTTTAGTCTTCCATACATTCTAGAATACATGCTACATACACTCTAGAATGTATACAACATACACTCTAGAATGTATACTAAATACGCTCCATTATATCTGCTACGTCCTAGAGTGGATGCCGCCTATATCCACTCTCGGATTTATATTAAATCCACTTGGAGTAGCCTCTGCGCACTAGCCTGAATAAATACACTATATGTTTGAATATGAAATATATAAATTGGGGCTATTATTACTGCAGATGAGAATTATGAAGTGTATGAAATATAGAGGATGGGTGGTTGTGGATCCAATTGTCAATGATCCTTGCATACATTATAATAACATGAGCTACAATGTTAGCCCATTATTATTACAAGAATACACGGCCAGGGAGCGGACACCACGCACTCCTGTGTGTGTGTGTGTGTGTGTGTGTGTGTGTGTGTGTGTGTGTGTGTGTGTGTGTGTGTGTGTGTGTGTGTGTGTGTGTGTGTGTACTCACCTAGTTGTGGTTGCCGGGGTCGAGTCACAGCCCCTGGCCCCGCCTCTTCAACTGGCCGGTACCCGGTCACTCTTCCCGCTCCGTGAGCTTTATCATACCTCTTCTTAAAGCTATGTATGGATCGTGCTTCCACCACATCACTACCCAGACTATTCCACTTCCTGACAACTCTATGACTGAAGGAATACTTCCTAACATCCCTGTGGTTCATCTGAGTCTTCAACTGCCAACTGTGACCATTTGTTGTTGTGTCCCATCTCTGGAACATCCTGTCTCTGTCCACCTTGTCTATACTTCTCAGTATTTTATATGTCGTTATCATATCCCCCCTATCTCTCCTGTCTTCCAGTGTCGTCAGGTCGGGTTCCCTTAACCTATCCTAGTAGGACATACCCCTTAGCTCCGGGACTAGTCTTGTTGTAAACCTTTGCACTTTCTCTAGTTTCCTTACATGTTTGGCTAGGTGAGGGTTCCAAGCTGGCGCTGCATACTCCAATATGGGCCTAACGTACACAGTGCACAGGGTCCTGAATGACTCCTTATTTAGATGTCGGAATGCTGTTCTTAGGTTTGCCAGGTGCCCGTATGCTGCAGCAGTTATTTGGTTGATGTGCGCCTTAAAAGATGTGCCGGGTGTTATACACAAACCAAGATCTTTTTCCTTGAGTGAGGCTTGTAGGCTTTGGCCCCCTAGACTGTACTCCGTCTGTGGTCTTATTTGCCTTTCCCAATCTTCATGGCTTTGCACTTGGTGGGATTGAACTCCAGAGCCAGTTGCTGGACCAGGCCTGCAGTCTGTTCAGATCACTCTGTAGTTCTGCCTGGTCCTCGTCCCACTGAATTCTTCTCATCAACTTCACATCATCTGTAAAAAGGGACACTTTGGATTCTATGCCTTCCGACATGTCGTCCACAAATACCAGAAACTGCACCAGTCCTAGGACTGATCCCTGTGGCACCCCGCTCGTTACAGGTGCCCACTTTGATATCTCGCCATGTACCATGACTCGCTGTCTTCCTGACAGGTATTCCCTGATCCATTGTAGTGCCTTTCCTGTTATCCCTGAGTGGTCTTCCAGCTTATTCACTAATCTCTTGTGTGGAACTTTGTCAAACGCCTTCTTACAGTCCAAGAAAATGCAGTCTACCCACTCCTCTCTCTCGTCTTACTGCTGTCACCCTGTCATAGAACTCCTTTAAGTTTGTGATGCAGGATTTCCCGTCCCTGAAACCTTCATGGCTGTCATTGATAAGCTCATTCTTTTCTAGGTACTCCACCACTCTTCTCCTGATAATCTTCTTCGTGACTTTGTATATTATACATGTCAGTGACACTGGTCTGTAGTTTAATACTTCGTGTCTGTCTCCTTTTTTTTAAAAATTGGGACTACATATGCTGTCTTCTATACCTCGGGTAGTCGCCCTATTTCGATAGATGTGTTGAAGACTGTTGTTAGTGGTACGCAAAGCACCTCTGCTCCCTCTCTCAGGAACCTTGGAGAGATGTTATCCGGCCCTATCGCTTTTAAGG